CGACGTGTTTTGATTTTGAAACGTGCAGTGCTCATGTTTATTCAACGAAGTCAAACGGCACAAATAAATCAATGTATGGGAAACACTGGTAATGTATATCGAAATATCGGAAATGTGTTTAAAAATCATATCACCGTTATTGAAAAAAATTATATCGCGATACATATTGATATTGAATTATTGTCCAGCCCTACCAACAATGTCCAGTTATTTTATCTGAGATCCCAGCTTGGGATCTAATTTTAAATGTCTTTTGAGGACAAGTGCAGGGCGGTTATTTTCTGTAGGGGCCGTTACGTCCCTCATGCACAAATGACTTGCAAATGTCGATGCACAATCTTATTAATGCTTCTGTACAGAAAGGTCAAAATGTCCGTCCAACAATCAAAGACACAGTTGGCTAGAAATAATCATACTAAAAGTCAGCAAGACACCAAAAATAAGACTCAGTTAAGATGCGATTATGGCCACAAATTCTCCACGGCACACTTGCCTCTGAACTCGTGAGGGTGGGGCGAAGACTCCGTGTTTCGGAGGACAGCTGAAGTATCGTACTCCTCCAACTGATCCGTCATTCTTTCCGCTCGGCTTGTCCAACTCAATCCCCAACCAAAATCCTGTCAGGGACACACACACACACACACACACACACACACACACACACACATTGTACAAGCAGATACATTTTGAGAAATGTAGCGATTTTCTCGCCGATCTGAGCTTGGGTAAACAATCTCCAATCTGTCATCTCTCAGTACAGCTCGAGCCTAAACAAACGAATACCAAATCCTGCGATTTGAGTAAATCCAGTTATTCCTTCCACAAGCTTTGTAATGCTTTGTAATGCGAGGACAAACAAACAGTTGCTTTTTAGTAAACGAGGCACAAAGCACAGGGTGAGCGTTATTCTATGAATGTACGAATAGCAGATGAAAAGGGCACATTGAGAAGAAGATGGATTTCAAATTAGGGCTTTCAGTACCCCATCAATAAAACTGCACGGATAAGGCAGATAAGATCCATGTTCTTTTGCTAAAAAACATGAATGGCAAGTAATTACTGTCTGGTTGAATCTTTACTTTCAAATGAGGGCACTAAAGCTCCAGCAGCAAACTTTAAGATAACTACTTGCTTAGAGCAAATGAGCAAATCCACTGTTCAGTAGGCTTTGGACGTTATTCAACAAGTCCAAAGCCTTCATAAGTGACTATCGGACCCTTGGCAAACCAGAGCTCAGTTTTAAAAAAAGTTGTTAAGCTTCACAACATGCACTACATGTGTTTCATTATAGAAGCGTAATGGTGTTCACACTTAGAAGGTGACGGAAGTGCTTACAGTGCCGTTCATTGCATTCAGAAAGTATTCAGACCCCCTTCACTTTTAAAAAAAAATGTTGTTATGTTGCAGCCTGATACTACAATTGTTTAAATTCAGTTATTTTTTTCCCATTAATCTACACTCTGTACCTCATAATGTCAAAGTGAAAACAGAATTTTAGAAATGTCTGTAAATTTATTAAAACGAAAAAACTGAAATATCACATTTACATAAGTATTCATGCAACAGCACTTGAAATTTAGCTCAGGTGCCTCCCATTTCTCTTGATCATTGCTGAGATGTTTCTACACCTTGATTGGTGTCTAGCTGTGGTAAATTAAATTGATTGGACATGATTTGGAAAGGCACACACACCGCTCTATAAAAGGCCTCACAGTGAGGCACAAATCTGGAAAAAAAAAAAAAAAAAAATTCTGCTGCACTGAAGGTTCCCAAGAGCACAGTGGCTTCCATAATTCTCAAATGGAAGAAGTTTGGCACAACCAGGACTCTTCCAAGAGCTGGTCGCCCAGCCAAACTGAGCAATTGATGGAGAAGGGCCTTGTCTAGACTGGTGACCAAAAACCTGATGGTCACTTTAGTTGAGCTCCATGATCATGTATGCAGATGGGAGAAACCTACAGAAAGACAAACATCACTGCAACACTCCACCGA